AGAGGCTTGGCTTTTTCTTCATGGTTTTCCATCTTTAACAATCTGGCATTTAAATCTGACAACCCATTTTTTGGTCGAAATTCATGTCAAAATCTAACCCTGTAGATTCGTATATAGACATGGGTCAAAATTTCCCATTCACATAACTCGGTCAAAACTCAACCGATTTTCAAGAGGCTTGGCTTTTTCTTAATGGTTTTCCATCTTAAACAATCTGGCATTTAAATCTGACAACCCATTTTTTGGTCGAAATTCATGTCAAAATCTTACCCTGTAGATTCGTATAAAGACATGGGTCGAAATTTCCCACCTCCATAACTCGGTCATAACTCAACCGATTTTCAAGAGGTTTGGCTTTTTCGTAATGGTTTTCCATCTAAAACAATCTGGCATTTAAATCTGATCACGCATTTTTTGGTCGAAATTCATGTCAAAATCTTACCCTGTAGATTCGTATAAAGACATGGGTCGAAATTTCCCACCTCCATAACTCGGTCAAAACTCAACCGATTTTCAAGAGGCTTGGCTTTTTCTTCATGGTTTTCCATCTTTAACAATCTGGCATTTAAATCTGACAACCCATTTTTTGGTCGAAATTCATGTCAAAATCTTACCCTGTAGATTCGTATAAAGACATGGGTCGAAATTTCCCACCTCCATAACTCGGTCAAGACTCAACCAATTTTCAAGAGGCTTGGCTTTTTCTTAATGGTTTTCCATCTAAAACAATCTGGCATTTAAATCTGACCACATAAATTTTGGTCGAAATTCATGTCAAAATCTTACCCTGTAGATTCGTATAAAGACATGGGTCGAAATTTCCCATTCACATAACTCGGTCAAAACTCAACCGATTTTCAAGAGGCTTGGCTTTTTCTTAATGGTTTTCCATCTAAAACAATCTGGCATTTAAATCTGACAACCCATTTTTTGGTCGAAATTCATGTCAAAATCTTACCCTGTAGATTCGTATAAAGACATGGGTCGAAATTTCCCACCTCCATAACTCGGTCAAAACTCAACTGATTTTCAAGAGGCTTGGCTTTTTCTTAATGGTTTTCCATCTAAAACAATCTGGCATTTAAATCTGACAACCCATTTTTTGGTCGAAATTCATGTCAAAATCTTACCCTGTAGATTCGTATAAAGACATGGGTCGAAATTTCCCATTCACATAACTCGGTCAAAACTCAACTGATTTTCAAGAGGCTTGGCTTTTTCTTAATGGTTTTCCATCTAAAACAATCTGGCATTTAAATCTGACAACCCATTTTTTGGTCGAAATTCATGTCAAAATCTTACCCTGTAGATTCGTATAAAGACATGGGTCGAAATTTCCCACCTCCATAACTCGGTCAAAACTCAACCGATTTTCAAGAGGCTTGGCTTTTTCTTCATGGTTTTCCATCTTTAACAATCTGGCATTTAAATCTGACAACCCATTTTTTGGTCGAAATTCATGTCAAAATCTAACCCTGTAGATTCGTATATAGACATGGGTCAAAATTTCCCATTCACATAACTCGGTCAAAACTCAACCGATTTTCAAGAGGCTTGGCTTTTTCTTAATGGTTTTCCATCTAAAACAATCTGGCATTTAAATCTGACCACATAAATTTTGGTCGAAATTCATGTCAAAATCTTACCCTGTAGATTCGTATAAAGACATGGGTCGAAATTTCCCACCTCCATAACTCGGTCAAAACTCAACCGATTTTCAAGAGGCTTGGCTTTTTCGTAATGGTTTTCCATCTAAAACAATCTGGCATTTAAATCTGACCACATAAATTTTGGTCGAAATTCATGTCAAAATCTTACCCTGTAGATTCGTATAAAGACATGGGTCGAAATTTCCCACCTCCATAACTCGGTCAAAACTCAACCGATTTTCAAGAGGCTTGGCTTTTTCTTAATGGTTTTCCATCTAAAACAATCTGGCATTTAAATCTGACAACCCATTTTTTGGTCGAAATTCATGTCAAAATCTTACCCTGTAGATTCGTATAAAGACATGGGTCGAAATTTCCCACCTCCATAACTCGGTCAAAACTCAACTGATTTTCAAGAGGCTTGGCTTTTTCTTAATGGTTTTCCATCTAAAACAATCTGGCATTTAAATCTGACAACCCATTTTTTGGTCGAAATTCATGTCAAAATCTTACCCTGTAGATTCGTATATAGACATGGTTCAAAATTTCCCGTTCACATAACTCGGCCAAAACTCAACCGATTTTCTTGAGGCTTGGCTTTTTCTTCATGGTTTTCCCACTAAAATAATCTAGAATCATATATATGTCTCATAGTTTAGTACCAATAATTAATACCTCCACCATTAATTCTTATTAGAGTGTGTTTTTAAACTGCTTCTCATGCATTTTTTCACGCCTATCTGCTTGTTATTATGGTAAGATGGTTGGACAGCTTACTTGATTTTATAGATAGTTGTAAAGTGATTGAACTGCTTCTTGCTAGCCATAAAAGATTGTCAGTACTGCTTAGTTCGATTTGATACATAATAGCTTGCAGCTTCGTCTGCTACAGACAGTTGCTCCCAGTTGGGTAAGCTGTTTGAACTGCTTACAACGAATTTATGGCGATTGTCAAAAGCTTGTACTGCTTATCATGCAGTTCTTCCAGCAATTACTGTTTGCTATCGTTGTAAACTGCTTGAATTGCTATAAAACTCAAAATATCGAAAGTGTCGCTAGTCGAGTGCCCAGCACTGTGCCGCCCGCTGCATTTGAAAACGAAAGTTTAGATACGACTTTTGGATTTGTTCTTTTGTTAGATTTCAATGTTATATATATTCATGAGACAACAACAATAATGAGTAATAATTTTAATATAGTATTATGTATTTCGCTTTTAATATGCTATTTATGCATATTTCTGCATGCTTTTGCTTTTATTTGAATGCCCTTTTTTGTTTTTAAAAATTTCGCTAGTATTTAGTTGAACTCTTTCGCTTTGCAATGTTACGAGTATTTCTTTCTCATTTTTTTTTGTTTTCGGCTACAATTTATGTTTTCTTCAAATATGTTTCGGGTTTCATCACATGAAAAAGATGAAAGAAACGAATTTCAACTGAAATCAAATTTCAACTGTGATTTTGGGGCTCGTTCTTATTGTGTTTGAGTTTTGATTTGCTTAAGTTAAATTAGATTTAAATTTTGCGCCCATTCCCAACCCAGCTAAATGTTATTTATTTATATACATTTCATAGAAATATCAGTCAATGGCATCGAGTGCTACTTAAATGGCTCGTAGGACTTGCTTAACTGCTTAGTTAGTATCATTAACTAGTTAATTATGCCGTTCTGTGCTAGGCTTTAATGGATCGTATGTATTGAAACCATTCAATTGATATACGAGTAACGAGTAATTCGGGCTCTATTCGTATCATTTCGCACATTTGCTTATCATTCGGAAGTTGACATCAAAACTATTTTATAATATATTGCGTTTCGTATATATAATATATACTTTACTTATATGCTAGAATTATTTTTGCTTTTTTAGATAGATAATGCCGCTAGTTTGAGTGCTTTGATTGGAATTGCTGGTACTCTGCATCTAGATTGATTAATTATTTATTCTCGGGCCTGTTCTAGATATCGCTACCATTTCGAAAACTCATTTCGATATCGAATCGAATTCAAAGTGTTTTTTTTTTTTTATTGCTGCTCAACACCAATTGTTAGCTACAACACTTTCGAACACTTGCAAATCGAAATGCTTATCGATTAATCGATCGTTATCGAGAACAGTTCCGTTTGCTCATACATACGTACTTACATACAGCTTTCGCTCTCTCTCTCTCTCCCTCTCTCGCTTCCTATACATACCCACATATTCATGTTCGTCTAGGACCAAAGGCAAAAAATATACATATATATATATATATATATATACTTGTGTATACAATGTGTGGTTAGATCTTTTCTTTTTTTTTTGTTTTGCTTCTCAGTTTCCTCGAGCTCCCAGCTCTTTGCTCAGTACATTATTTATTTCTTTTGGAATATCATATTTTTTTTCTTTTTTTTTTTCGAATATATGAAGTAACGACGCCAAATATATGCATGCTAGAAAACTCTATATAATATTATAATAATTAAAAAAAATTTTTAATTTTTTATAGTTTTTTTTTTTTTTTTTTGCTTTTCAAACGGTCTTTTATATTTCTGCAATTGTTTGCAATTTTTTGAGATTTGTGCTTAGAATTTACATTGCTGTGTACAAACGTATTATGTACATATACATATATATCTAATATATATATATCTCATAATTATTATTATTATTATTATTATTATTAGATTTTAACTTAGAGCGTTAATTTTATTATCGATTTATTTGCGCTATTTGGCTAAACTAAATCAAAAATTTACACCTGCACTTGCTGACGACCTAATCCGACTGCCACGCCCCCCTCCCTCCCCCCCTCCAAAGCATTCTATTTACGGGCAATGCGAAGGGGAGCGGGGAGCTGCTCGAACACATAATACGGCAAGGGGAAATTCAATTTTCAAAACAATATTTCAAATTTCGCTAACATTTTCCATTTCCATTCAATTTTCCATACTTTAACTATATACAAATTTAACTGATTAATACAAATATTTAATATATATAATGTTCACACACACACATATATATATATATATATATATATATCAATTTGAATTGAACTAAAAGAAAAGTTGCGTGTGTGTTCCAGCACATTGGGGCCATCATACAAATACAATAACTATATATACATATATATATATATATATATATATATATATAGATCTATGTATATATCGAAGTGTGTTTAGATAATCGTAGGTTGGCTGATTGATTTGATGGTGGGTAGATAGAGTATAGATTGAATTTGTTGTGTGTGTGTGTGTTAAAAACTATATTGTTATATATTCCAACTAAAACAAAATACAATATGTACCGTTATGTTCTCTCTCTCTATATATATATAGATGTCTCAATTTTGTTTGTTTTCCTTCTTTTATGTATAAATATTTTAGCATGCGACATATGGAAATGATCTCTCCAACCGAGGGCTTAGTACAAAACTAAATTGTGTCTGTGTCTCTGCGTGTCTTTGTGTGTGTGTGAGTGTGTGTGTGCGAGTGTGTGTGTGTGTGTGTGTGTGTATCTCCTCTCATCGTTTACAAATTAAATTCTGACTAATAAACAGTCTTTTCGTGCCAGCGCGAAGTTCTTGGACAGATCGTGAATCTGTTACGGCTCCCAACATGGAATTATTGCGTTGTCTCATCCTGCTGTTCCTGCTCGGCGGGGCTCCCCGTCCCCGCCGACGCCGCCGCGGTGCTGCCAAAACTGCAGGCGGTGCTCTTAAGTGTCGCCGCATTCGCAATGGGCAGAGCGGTCAGCGGTGCCGCTGCCAGGGATGAGGCCGATGAGGATGGTGAGACACAGGCGGGCATGCCCGCGGACGAGGCCAGCGATGAGGCGGACGATGACATGGACGCTGACGATGCCAACGATGAGCTTGTGCCCAGTGTTGTGGGCGTGGCAACAACAATTGCTGCCGACGCTGCCCCAGCTGCAGCAGCAGAGCCCGTCGCCAGCGACGTTGGCGACTTGGGCGAACTGATGCGTGAGAAGAACTTTGTGATGGCATTCGGTTTGGATTTTGTTGCGCCAGCTGCTGCTGCCAGCGCATAAGCGGCAGGTGTCGAGGAGTTGGCGGCAGCGGCGGCGACAGCAGCAGCAGCAGCGCAGCTATTAGCTGCCGCCAGGCGATAGCTGGCATTGGCGGCGCATATCTGTTCGGGCACATCGCGTACGGTTTTGTTGGGCGGCGGCTTTGTATAGGAGCGTGTGATTTCCGATTGCTGTGCGCCGAGAGCAAGAGAGAGAGGGAGAGAGAGCATGAGATAATGCGCGTGCCTGGGTTGCAAAGTGTGTCTCACCTGATAGCTGCTGCGTATTTGCAGATGACGATCCTGTCCGTACTCGCTGTCCGGCAGTGGTACATGATGTGGGCAGCGCGGCGTCCTCTGCTGCTGCAGCTGATATTGGTAATGTTGATGATGATCGGCACTGTGGCTATTCAGCGAGCTGCACGACGATGTTGAGGATGTGCACGATGTGCTGCTCAGATCGCTCTTAAAGCTCCCGCTGCCCGTGTTGCCGTACTTCAATGTGGTCGCCTCAATTCCGCCACGCGCCACAAAATTGTTAATACTATGCGTGTTGTTGTTATTGTTGTTGCCGCTGCCGCTTCCGCTGGCCGAAGTTGTCATGCGTTGTTGTTGCTGCTGTTGTTGTTGTTGCTGGTACAGATAATGTTGTTGTTGTTGTTGCTGTTGTTGCTGCTGTTGTTGCTGCTGTTGTTGCTGTAGTTGATGGTGGGAATGTTGTTGCTTATTGTTGTGATGTTGTTGCTGTTGCTGCTGCTGCTGCTGCTGCTGATTGTTGCTGCTGCTGTGCACGGCCAGCAGCTCGCGTGCTTGGAGCGCATCAACGCGCATTCTACATCTAAATTGATCCCTGTTCAAAAAAGCAGCACTTATTAGTCATGTCTGGCCAGGATTAGCCTGTTGCCCATGCATACATAAAAGAACTATAGATACAATTGATGTTCTGTCCCAAGGAAGGCATCTATACAAGCTTTTATGTATACAGTTGGGGCAGCTACTTACCTGTCATCGGGTGGTGTGCTCAATGATGTGCGGGTCGGAACGCCAAGCCGCTCCATTCCCGCGCAGCCGGCCGTCTGTACCGATAGCATCTGCAAGAAAAGAAAATCAAAGTTCACATTAGCTCAAGGCTTTCCATATTTTATAATATATTCTAACTTTAATTGGGGCTTCTAGCTGGCATCTAGTAGTACTGCCTGTCCTGACACTGCGCCACCTCGTCGAGGGTTTGAAAGCGCGGCGTTAGCAGCCAGCTCTTGAGCACGAGCGGATGGCTCTGTACGCCATCCGGCGAGCTATTGAAGAACTCAATATCAATGCGCATTTGATGCAAGTTTGGCTTGGGCTGGAAGCGCAGATGCCCGGTATAATTAAATGCCTGACGCATGATAAAGGGCTGCTCCACAAAGAGCAGGGTCTGATGCCACAAGGATTTGAGGGGCGAGTTGAGGCAAGGATTGCAGCTCAGCTTGTGCGGCTGATGCGAGCGACTGAAGGCCACATCAAAGTAGAGCACAAAGCACTCGAAATAGCCATCCTGCTGCACCTGCAAACGTATGTCGCGATCTATGTGCAAATCCTCTACCCTGGCTGTGCGCAAATCCAAGCTGAGCACCTGATGCGCCAGCGTGAGCAGCCGTTCGCCTTTCGTACGGACAAAGCGCGGCTCGGCCAAGGCGTAACGACGCATGGCATTCATATTGAAGCCATAAACGTCGAGCCACCAATTGCAGCGCTCGTTCTTGAGCCGCTGCTCCGCCCCGCCCAGCAGATAGAGCGCCGCCAGATCGGGCAAGATGAAGCCCTGTGGCTTTAGCCAGCGATCGCGCGCCTCGAGCAGCTCCAACAGCTCCGATTCATAGAGCAGACACTGGCCCATCCAGTTGCACACGATGCCATCGACGCGCTGCGGCAGCTTCACATCGGCCACACGTCCGTGCAGCACGCTGATAATGTGCTCCCACTTATTGGCACGCACCACCAGCCGTGCATAGTCCGTCACCTGGGAGTGATCCAGCGCATAGACATGTCGGGCGCCCGCCCGGGCTGCCATCAGCGCCAGCGTGCCCGTGCCGCAGCTCAGGACCAGTATGGTGCGTCCCTCGAACAGATGACGATTCTCCTCGATGGCCAATTGAAAGAAAAGCATGTGCTGTTGCTCCTTCTGCCGGCTGCGCATATTCTCCAGATGCGCCGCAAAATCGTGTCGAAAATCGGCGGATGTCATGCGGTCCACCGTCTGCAGCTCGTGCGGCACACGGCGCGGTGGTGTCGCTATGCGCGGACAGGAACGAACGCGACCGGAAAGACGGCCACGGCCACGCGGGCTGACCGCTGGCTGCGTTGTTGGGCGGCTCAAAGTTTGGATTTGAGGCGTGGCAGCAAATGTGACGACGCATTCCAAACCAGGAATTTGCTCTGTCGCATCGCCGCTGCCATTGTCAATAGCTTGCGCTAGAGATGGAGCAGAAACTGGAGTTGGCGCTTTGGTCTCCTCCCGCTGGACTAGACTGTGAAATTCGCTTAGGCTAAATGTTTTCGGCTTTTTGCGACGGCTGTCATCGTAGCCGGCACGTGCTGGGCTATTTTTTACATGATGGGACATTGTTTTTATGCATGCGAACAATGCTTTTTAATTTAAACAGACCCAACAATTATTTATTAGAGACGGAAGATCGCCAGCTCAGAGCTGCTCCGTTGGCGCCAAAATTGTGAATGGTCTGCAAAATTATCGATATCAGCAAGGTTGCCACTATGTTGCAACAGACACATAAATCCCTCAAGAAATAGTACCATAATTCGCCTTTAAAGGTACACGACACATAGGGTTACGAATTGTACCAATTTCATGGCAACCTTGTACCCCTTTGGTACACACGTAAAAAACGTGCTGGCAACGCCATTGCTCTTATTGGCCAGACAAATTAATCGAAGCATCTTAAGAAGTATCGAAGTTGTGCGTGCGAGTTACAAAATTGACAAAGTTTGTTAATTAAATATAAGGCGCTTATTTTGTCTACATACATAACGTATAAGTGGCACGTGCCATAGACACATATATACTTAGTTCGCCAAATCAAACCAGAAACTTGTGCCTTTGCGAGTTGTGTGTACAAAAAGAAAGAAATTTGGCCGGGTAACGGTACTGATCAAGCATCCACATATACAAGCATATATATCCATAAACGTGTGTGTGTATGTAAATTTATGAATATTGCATATTGAACGTGTCGTTGCCGCTGACATAATTCCGTGTGTCCCACATTATTTTGTGGGGCTGCTGCCCCGCCCCCGTGTGCACCTGGCGATTGATGTGTTCAAGTGAGCGTGACAAATGACAAATCTAGCAAATAATTTTTTGTTGTGTTTTTGGCCGCCAGACGACGTTGTTGCCTACCAACCCTCCCATTTAAATTAAACAAAATATGCTGGCAAATTTGCGAATTGTTATAAATGCACAGCCATGAATGAACACACACACATACATATATACATATATGTATTTATGTATGTAAATATGTGGGAAATTGGTGTTACATTGTCTTGATCTAAATTATGTGTGAATGGCAATGAACATTCGCTGCGAACCGCGTGTATTGGTACTTTAGGCAAACGATCATACGGTAAATTTTACGAATGGCTGCAAAAAAGTGATTTGCGAAAAAAATTAAAGAAAAAATGTAATTGTGTGCGCGCGTTAATTATTCTATTCGTCGCCGCGTGTGAATGCGTGTGTGTGTGTGTGCGTGTGTGCGTATGCGTGCAACATATAACGGTAATAATGAAATCTGCGCCGCGTCGCCTGTCGGCTGGCGAAACAGTCGAAACGCACATATTTAATAAACAAATTGAATTATTCATTGCCTAACGGCGGCAAATAAAATTCGATTAAAACGCGAGTTACGCGTCGACGTTGACGTCGACGGCAGCAGCAGCAGCAGCAGCAGCAAACGCCGCCCTGGGTTATTAGCGGCAATTGTGTTTCTTATTGCGTTGGCTGCGCCGGCAGCGCCAGCTACGACGCCCACGCAACGCTTTCCTCTTCGTCTCTGTTCTAAATGCCAAGTCACGCATGCACATGTGTGTGTGTGTGTGTGCGTGTACGTCTGCTGATGCTTAGAAGATAGGCAGAAATTGTGATGAAGGCGCTGCTAAAACAAAGCAAACTCACAATAGGGCATTGCACGTGTGTGTATGTGTGTGTGTGTATATGCTTTCCCATGCTGTTTGTCAACGACAATGCGAATTCGCACACACACACACACACATGCATTATGTATGTGGGCTTGTAATAAATAATGAAGCATGTTTCGAGTTGTCAGCGCAGCGAGCAACAATTTGTCAAAAGTCTTCACCATCTTCGTTCTTTGTTTCTACTCTGTTCTAAATGTTATAAGAAGGGTATATTAAGCCATATAACGGTTGTCACTGTTTTAGGAGTCACAGTTTGTACATAAGCTAGAATCACAGTTTATGCTTTTTGCCTAGCTAGTGTGTGAGCTTTACAGTTTGAGAGTCATTTACTTCACAATAAGAACTTCCATTCACACATTTGCAGCTGTCATTGTTTTGGGGATTCACAGTTTAGAAGTCAATTGGAATCACAGGTTACATTTTTCTGCCAATGCAATTGTCACTGTTTTAGGATTCACAGTTTATACTTCTGACTGTCTTAGAGTTACAGTTGGAGAGTCTTTTACTTCACAATAAGAACTTCCATTCACACATTTGCAGCGATCACTGTTGGAATTGGAATCACAGTTTAAAGTGACTGCCCAAGTTTTACAGCAAGAGTCACAGTTTAAGAATCACTGGTCTTCATTTCTAAACCCGATCTCAACTTGTTTTACATCTCACACAGGGTATCTGGTAGTCGATTGCAACCCATTGCAGCTTCTGTTTAATTGTATTGCCGCTGCTTTACGGCTTGGCCGGCGGCATTGCTTTGGTCTTTGCGGTAATGATATAGCCCAAGATGTGGGGGCGACTGTTGTCAAGGTTTAACCATATGTAAAGTCTTAGAGTCGAAGCTGGCTGGCTTTCAACTTGGCCAAGCTTAAAGTAGGTGCAGTTGTCAGGCTTTCGTCTTCAATTTAAAATATAGATATTTTCAAATAAATTCAATTTACTTTCATCATAATAAAGACATCAAGCAAATGGCGAAATGAATTTGGCCAATGATCAAACAAATTAAAGGCACATATACAAAAAATGAGAAAAAGTCTACCCTTCCGATGTGCCATGCATCCGGCAAATACTTTGCACAATAATGGGCCAGACACGGGCACGTTCCATGTTGTCTCGACATTGCATAACATGGATAACAAGTACGAAAGTGCTCTAGAAGAGAGTAGAAGATAGCCCGATACCCTGTATTGAGTTTCTTAGATGCAAACGCAAAAACATGCGCACACGTAATTTGAATTTTGAGCTTAGCTTCCATTTATGAGAATTGCAGAATGGCAGTGAGAGAAAGAGAGTGAGAAGGATAGAGGGTTAAAAGAGTAAGAGGGAGAGTTCGCTAAGGAGTGAGTAAGACAAAAGGTATGGAAGAAAGTCTGAGAGGGAGGGAGTAAGAAGGAGAGAGAAAGTCTTAGAGCAGGGAGAGAGATCACAAATGGGAGAGAATATCTATATTTATATTAGTTGCGACTGTAAGATAAATCAAACAAATATTATTTAATTTTATTTCCATATGGCTTAATTCACAAAATCCTGACCTCACTTGAGACCATGAAATTCGCATAGAAGGGCGCATTTCGATTGCACAACTGTTCTAGCTCTCACTATACATTTGTAATGGGTATAGGATATAAAAAGCAACGTGAAGAACGCAAAAGGCAAAAGCCAATAGCAGCAGCAGGCAAACCAAATTTCCTACAGTTGTTATATAAGCCCGACGCAAGAGGCACATCGCACGACTCGGAGCTGTTGCTTCAAGGACTTTGCCACCCCAAGACGCCCAACCAGCTACAGCTGCTATATGAATAGAGTCGGCTGTCTGTGCTGCGGGTTTCTTTCGCAGTTTTCTTTTACTTTTTTGTGCAAAAGGCAAAATGCAGAAGGAAGCACGGCGCAAAGCGAAAGCGAGCTAAACTTTCGACACGTGTCGTCGTCGGCGACGTCTTCTTCGTTTTGTCTTTGCATTTGTATTTTGCCTGCCACTCCCTCTCTCGGTCTCGCTCTCTCTCTCTCTCGCCCCCCTCTTTCTCTCTCTCAACTTTTCGCTTCTGTTTGGAATATGCCACCCACATTTTGGTACTCTACTTACGGGTACAGAATGTTCCGGCTCGGTTGACAAAAGTGTTGCTGCTGTTGTTGTTGCTGCTGCTTGCGCTGCTGCTGCTGTTGTTGCGGGTGTTGTTGTTGTTGTTGCTGCTGCTGCTGTTGAAGCGGAATTCGCTTGTGCTGCTGCTGCTGCTGCTGTCTGCGTCAGTGGAAGGGCCAGAGCAAAGGCAGTCTCTTGGCCCGTCGCACTTTTATGCCCAATACTATTACGACCACAGGCGCCGCCGCCGTTGTTGCTGCTGCTGCTGTTGCTGTTGCTGTTGCTGCGCCGTCGCTGCGACGCGCGCTGCTTGTGTCGTATTCGGTGCGTTGTTGTTGCCGCCGCGGACGCCGCTGCCGTGGAGCTGCTGCTGCGTCGCAGTGTAATCACAGTGACCAGCACGCTGCCACACACTAAACACACGGCTACACCAATGGCGATCAACAGAACGTGGCCTGAAAAATAATTAAAAACAAATTTAAGTGGTAAGTATTATGAAATATTACTCAAAACTGTGTATTTCTTTATTAGTTATTATTATGTTTTTCGGGAGTTCGAACCCGAAAGTTTATCAGACTACCTTAGAGAGTATTGTAGCTGTTAAAATAGGCAAATCAAATGCAGAATCTTCATAATTATTGCAAATTACAATTTAGCAATAAATAAATTGAAAATAATTGTCGGGTTTGAACCGGCGACCACCTGCTTGTCAGTTTGATGTTCAGACATCTACGCCATGCACTCACAATAACTTCACAACTTTTGTAAACTACCATTAATTCATGAGAAAATTGAAAATTATTGTTGGGTTTGAACCAGCGACCTTCTGCTTGCCAGTTCGACGTTCCCACATCACATCACCTTTGGCATACATTTTCCGATTGTTTACAACCTTGCAGAGCTTCAAGATGGTCTTCAACTGGTATTTAATCCAAAAGCCTAGAATTCCGCTATCAGCTTATGTTTTTCAGATGGTATTTTATTGTGTGTATATACCAAAAATATTGACTCCACCTCCGTTCAGGTGCATTCCTACCGCAAAGATTCGTAACTCATAGCAAATTTTTAATTTCTAAGCAAAAACACACACACATCGACACTCATGCAAAATATAAACAAACAGACCGTTACGAAATGTTTTGAAAATTATAAATAAATGCTAAAAATACTGCAAAAATACTCGCCAAATACTGATGTGGCACTAAATGAAACAATGAAAGAGCAACAATAGCAAACGCAATGCTTTCCATTGTATCAGCTAAAAATACAAACATAAACGTCTAGATATAGAGTACACACACACACACACACACATACATACATTTATATATGCATATGCATATATATATATATACTTATATGTATGTGTAGATATGTATGGGTATATATGTACATAAATGCGTATACGTCTAGACTAGATAGCAGACGACTTAAGCGATATCAAGCACACATGCGCAAGCGTCTGGCATTCGTAGATATTCATACTAGATGTGTGTAAGTGTGTGTGTGTGGGCGGACGGACGATAAACAAAGCAACAAACCGTCGAATCAACTAACCAGCCCCACAGTCAGACATGTTATACTTATGCTGGCCATTCAGCCACATACTCACGCATACATACACACACTTACATACATACATATATGTATGTTTGTGCAGACAGAAAGTGAGACCCGGTAGTAGAACCCATATCAGTAGACATGTTCTATGTGCGTTCGCTTGCGCAACTCACTATATTTTACAATTAAAAACAAAGCCAGTCGGACCGCACATTTTGACGTAAATTCTAGTATTTTAAATGCAATACAATGGTCACACTGGAAAAGAGAAATGCGCTTTTATAGCGAAATGCATAAAGTATATTATTATATAAAAAAGTTGTAGACTTTTATCGACATGCTCTTATAAAAATTGCCAGAATTGGTAAGAAGAGGCATAAATATTGTTTCTTGTAGTATTTTTTTAACACTTGCCAAGCCTTCCAGTATTTAAAACATACTTATTGAAACTTTTCACAAGCTACAAATTTTGTTCAATTTTCACAGTATTAAAATAGTTTAAGAAATGTTGTTAGTTGGTATTTAAATTGTATTTTTGGTATTTAAATAATACATTTTGGTATTTAAAAATACTAATTTATATACACAAAAATGCTTTAAATTTCCATCAATTCATTTAGCGTCAAGTTGTCAGCTTTGAGGCAACTTCCACATACATATTTGCCGCAGCTTTTGCACGCGATTTTGCGCGATCAGCATACCAGGCATGGTAAATATTTGTGTAAGGTCTGTCGCGCGGCTGTTTGATCTACAGTTACAATAAAAACCGACAGCAGTCCGAGGCCAAACAAACAAATAGATGAGAAAATGGCTCGCATGACGCAGACAATGTCTGGCTAAAAGTAATATGATTTAGGGGGGATTGGGGTACTTTGAGGGGTTTTTTTTTTCTGTCTGGGAGCGGTCAGGTGAGCTTTTGATCAATGGCTAAGCAAGTCATTGAAAAAGGAAAACAGCGAACTGTTTGCGATTAAATACCAAAACGTCAGACAAAAAATGCAAAAATATAAAAACAACAACAAAAATGATAAAAATGCAAAAAAAAAAAGTTAATCAACTAAAATTAAAATGTACAACGACTATGTCAACAATGTGTGTGTGTGTGTGAACAAGTGAGCTGGTGTGCGTGCGCGTGTGTGTTTATGCTGTCTGGTTTCAACTTTACAACACTACAACAACAACAACAACAACACGTGGCACTTTAGACTTTTGCGCATTCCCAGCCGCTGTCGCTGCCAGCGTCTGCGCTGGCTGCGCTGCCCGCAGCCGACAGGTGACTCAACCGGCTCAGCGTAGTGTGTTTTTTTTCTTTTCCATTTTATATATTTTACCTTTTATTTTTTTTTTAATTGCTCAACGCATTGTTGCTGTAATTTTTATCGCAGGTGACTGATTGAGCGTGTCTGCGCCACAGTCATATCAAAAAAAAAAAAACTATAAAAAAACAAACACGTGCACATTAATGTGCCTTACACAGGTGGGTCACATGCTTCGAGCAACTCATTCGCGCCGGGCAAATTGTAGCTGACGCATTTTGTGGAGTTACCCGATTAGTTAACCCAATTATTGTGCACTTCTTGATAGTTTTCGCTTCATATTTGAAGGCTGGCAGTGTTGCAAAACAAATGAATATAGTGTTATGAAGAATTAAAGCAACCAATGCAAGATGTATAAAGGCAACATAATTGTAGAAATGAGAAATAGAGTGCTAATTATACCCATATACAGTTTTTAGTTAACGTCTCAAGAGATTTTAGAGCGTATTTCTGTTCGCCATTGTTGAGAAACCAGAAAATATAGGAGTTTTTGGTAAAATAATCGAAAAAATATAAAATAAATAAACGAAGTCTTGTTAAAACGAAAAGAAACGTATTTGTAGTGTTGGATAAGTAAATATATATATAATATCCAGTGTTGTGTAAGTGAAAATAACAAATATCTAATGTTATGTTTAGCGAAAATAACAAATTTCTAGTGTTGTGTAAGTGTAAATAACAAATAGATGCGTGTGTTAAACGAAGTTTTTAAAATATCAACAAAGAATTTAAGTCATTTTCTTAGGCGAGAATAATTTCTATCAAAGAATTCGCTGTGGCTCGTTTAAGCTTTTAACACGCAATAAATTAAAATGACATATTAAGCTAATGTCATTACGAGTCTTAGAATTAATATTTGTTCAATATGTGGACAGCTGTTTGGTTCTTAGAGACCCCCCCAACCCACCTCCCAACGGACTTAGCAGGCAATCAGCTTGTGGTCTGCCTTCGGTTGGCCGCGACTTAAATGGATTTTATGGCTATTTTTAGTTGACGCGCTGATCTCCGAGTGGGCAGCCACACTCGGTGCTCACAGTGGGCAGCGCGTAAACTTGTTTGCAACGCCAATGCACAAAACGCAATCTCCCTCTCTCTCTCTCTTTCTCTCTCTGTCTCCAGGCAGGGGGCATGGCCAGGTGCAGTGGGGTGGGCTTAACGAGACATGGAAATATCCAAAAACTTGACTTGTCAGGTTCCTTGAACTGCGCACACACAATGTGACTGGACTGTGCAAATGATAATCGGGCAATTTGGAGGCTGACAATCCAATTGATTAAGTGAAAGGAGCTGCCACCGAGGTGGGTTTATCTGATATACCATATACATACTATATGCGATATATAAAAGAGTTTGAACAAAATATACTAATGCGAAGCTTTAACGGAAGGCCCTGAGGCACTTCTATGTGGCGGAAAAAGGAATATTTTTAGGAAAAATATCAACTCAAAGTCAAGAAGTGAATTTTCAGAGTGTGAACTCGCAGGTGTCTGAGCGTCGAACTGAGCAGTGGAAAGACGCTGGTTGAAATCCAACAAAATATTGTAATCTCTGGCATTTTTAACAGTATTCACTTGACCCGAGCGACGCCGGGTTATATCTTCAGCGTACGTATCTGCCAGATACTGTATCTTTTGAGCTCAGTGAATTCTTCAAGTTATTAATTTAATGATTATGATGCCAGCGCTAATGACAGTCAAGTGCATTTGTTGTACACAAACCGCACCGGCACCTCCCCCAACCCCCAGCCACCCGCAACCCCCGAGCCGATATGGCGATGATATTGTATGATATTTGGTCAGCTGGAGCATTGACACCTTAATTGATGTCAAGGTCTAACCTTGTGTGTCGCTGAATGTGGCAAATGTCGCGCCTGGAACTAAACTGAACTCATATCAACTCAACTCAACTCAAATCGCCGTTTAAGCCTGATAATACAAATATATATATATATATATATATATATATATATATATGCATAGGCATAAATAGCTCGTTAGATGACATTGAACTTGAAGGTATTTGCGCGGCGTTCTGTAGTGGGACACAATTTTGTTGTGTTATGACTTGATTTGATGTATTCGTTCGACTAGCTAAATGTGATGCAATTTGCGTTCGAATACTTTGTAACCACTGCCAATTAAATTGTAGCTGAACAAATCAGGGCTGAACAGAAGTGGGAGGGCCGCTTGTCTAAGGCCGAGCAGCTGTATCGCGTCACGTACTCGTACTCGTATTCGTATCTATGTACCGACTATGCACATTCTCATCGGACGTCGCGTCTGATAAACATTCAGCAAAAATAAATACTGAAATGCTGAAAAAAAAAAAAAAAGAAAATGTTCAGCAACTGACGTCAGTCGAGTGCCAGACAGCAGACGGCGATGCAGAATCGTTCAAATGTCTATATAAAATGTGAATAAACAGCGCAAATATTCGCATAGATCTTCAATTTGCCATAAACGGGCCGAAAGCGTTTGCAATTGTACAACCCAGTTAGACTTTTAACTGAATTGAATAGAAAAACGCAGAGGATATAATAATGCACTTATTGACTTGCTTTCAACAGTTAAAAAGCTTTAAAATTTGCAATAAATGCCTGCAAATGCCTG